CTAGTCACATTCCCTGGCATTCAGGAGGGACGCTAGTCACACTTCCTGGCATTCAGGAGGGACGCTAGTCACATTCCCTGGCATTCAGGAGGGACACTAGTCACACTTCCTGGTATTCAGGAGGGATGTTAGTCACACTTCCTGGTATTCAGGAGGGATGCTAGTCACACTTCCTGGTGACACTGTTCACTGGTCTGAGTATCAACCAGTCTGAGCAAGAGTCTGCAGGAGCTGCAGACCGAGCTGTAGACCAAGACATCTATATGAGGGTATATAGTTACTAAAGAGCAGCTGGGCTTATTTTTGAATCCCTGTACTTGCACATCTTTGTGTCTGAATTCCTACTGTCCTATGCTATACTACTCTGCACTATAAAATGCCAAATGAGGCTAGGAGAGGCTACTCTACCCTATCCTACTCTCCCCTACACTGTGCAATGCTGCTGCACAAGGTCATACTGTGAGCTTCTCAGGAATAGGGGCTAAGCCTTCCTCACTACTGTCCCTCTAGAATCATGTCAAAATATCTGGGACATGTTAGGAGGTTCAAAAATACTTACTGAATGAAAACACAGGGTGCTACATTCTCTTCTACATGCCCTGTCCTAAATGCATGTTTGCACACATATGTGTACACACGCTTTGACCTCAGCCTTCCTGTGACCACAGAATGGGCCCCACTGCAGCAGTGAAGAACAGAGCACCTGTTACTGTCCCAGGTGGCTAGGATCGATTCAGGGTACACAAGAAAGTCAAGAAGATCCCTCACTTCCCAGGAACCTTGAGGCCTTACCTTTGCTGTCTCAAGAATCTCATCCAAATCCACAGGCAGTTTTCTGTTCTGTAACCACAAGGCATGAGTGATGAGCATGGAAAGGATGATGGCACAATGACATGAAAGAGTTAAGCAGACAGGGCCCTCTCATTCTTACCGGTGTGGCCACAGCAAACCTCTCTTCAAAGTCCTCGAATGGCTGGCTGTTCTGAAAATGTAAGGGATGATGAATGAGGACGGAGTGAATGACACACAAATGACATGGATTTATGAGTTTAATGACGATGGTATCTATGGTTTACACTTGCATGGTCTTGGTAGGCGGGAGCTGTTGCAAATGGACTGTGAAAATCCTGGAATATGCTTCCAGCACAAGCAGATGATAAAACTCAGGGCTGATTAGGAAATACAGCAATGGTAGAACTGTATGGTCAAAATCCGTCTTCCTGCAATTACAGACATTACCCAGCCAGGCTCAACAGTGGATACCGATAACAGCAAGGGGTTTACACTTGAGATTATTCTTTTAAAAGGAAAAAAAAAAATCACAGGCTATAGCCAAACTGGGCTCTTGGCAGCAGCTAGTTATGTCTGTCCTTTATGGCTGCTGTCCTCACTACTCAAAGCGCGTTCCTCCTTGTCTCCGCAAGCACAGTGATCACCAGCTTCTGGCCTCCCAGCCCCAAGCACCCCATCTCCAGAGCACTCCTCAACATCCTGAGCAGAGCTGCCCCTCTGAGAACCCTGCAACACATATGTTCTACTCCACTGGGGCCTCACATAAGCCAGGATGGTGTGGTATTTAATCCTGAATCCCCAGCAGCTCCGGGAGGGTCTACTACATAACAGTGCTCAAAATGTCCGAATAAATGCAAGCCTTAAAAGTCACTGGCAACTGGCCAAGTCTAATTGTTCTCTTAACTTTTAACTGTATTGTGGATATTGCATGTTGTTGATAATTTATAATATTTAATATACATGCATATTTTAATGACGATGCTTTGGTCTCCATGTGCAAGCTAATTATTCTTTGGATGGTTTCCAAGTGGTATGACGTTAATATAAATTGGTGACTATTGGCATTAAAATGGAGTTTTATGCATGAACAGAAAAGACTACATCAGTTCCTAAGTTTAGGAGCTCTTGGCAGTGGTGGAATAGGAAAACTACCATTGTTGTCCCAAAATACTGCTCCTGTGCCAGAAATCACATTCACCCATCTATAGGAAATGTGTCTGTGACTTCCTTTCATCCCAGGCACATGACACAATACAGAGAAGGAGAGCCAGTGAGCCTACCACCCTAATCACAAAACTCTCAGGCAGATCTCCCACTAATTCAGCCATCAGCCATCTGGTCTACCAGGCTGTAGCTCACCATGACTCAACCATGGCTACAATGCAATAAAAAGCCACCACATCAAATAACGATGTAACAACTATTATTATTATTATTGTTATTATTATTATTATTCTTAGGCTAGAAATAGGGAGCCGCAGTGACACAATATGAGTCTAAGTGATCCTATAATCTAGTGTGTGGCCTAAAGGTTAAGGTTACGTTGCTACATCCTTTATAAATTCACACACTCCTAGGAATTTATGGCAGGGCCCCTACCAACTAGCTCTGGGTCATAACTTTTAATAAAAACATTTTTTAGTGTCCAAAATCTCATTACATCTGTCCAATATAAAAAAGCAAATGGCTTCAGAGCATGATGGATGAATTAAATAAATTTGAAAAACAGCCTGTGGTGAAGCCTCATAAAAGCCTCACCATGTCCCACATAATGAAAATGTGGGAGGATCACCAGTGTGGGCTGGTGACAGAACAGGTGGCCTTTGGTGAGGTCCAGAGCTGTCATTGGATGGCGAGACTTTTGAAAATTCTGATGAAGCTTGTTCTGGTGTTTGAAGAAATGTATCTCATTGGAGTCACAGAGAGGTGGACCAAAGCCTAGTTGTGCCACCTGCTGAGTGTGTGGCCTTGGACGGGTCAATTAGCCTCAGCCTTCTCACTTATAAAGTGGGGTTGGTAATGTTGACATCCTCTCAGAATTACTGAGAGGATTAACTGAGGTATTTGTGCCATCTTATTTGGTATTAGGGAAACAGTAGATACACACTACATAGCAGCCACTATTTTCCATCTTCTAATCTTATTTTTGGTTCATTTTAGCAATGTGAATGTACACATTTTTTAATATTGGGAAGATTGTACTAGTTGGTATTGGGTACTAGAAAGAGAAAGCAGAAACAAAAATCTTGCTGGAAGCCCCTCGTTAGAAAACTCTTCCATTCAAAATCACAAGCCAGATCCTGTGTAATGGGATGTTCAACACTTCCCAAATTTCCAATCTTTATCCTGAAGCTCTTACTCCATTCTTGACCCCATATCCTCCCTCTTGCCTTGCTCCAAACTACAGTCTGGCTTGACAATATTCTTGCTACCTCTGTCCTTGGTACCTGGTGCTGAGTTTACCTTACTCAGAGGTAAACTCAGAGCTCTACTCTGTCTGAGTCACTGCTTCGGGCTACTTCTCCCTGTCTGTCAGAACCTTTAGTGATACCCTGTCCACTTCCTCCAGCAGTGGGAGATTCTTCCAGCAGATACATTTTTTCCCAGCTGGAGACTTATGGGCAGGATCTGGAAGGCCTTCCCTGATCTCAACATATCTGCAACTCTTTCTTTACCTACATTTACCACTATAGTTTCATTTCATTTTCTTCAAGTCAGTTTTCTTCTGATAGATATATTTTTCCATATTTATTACCATAGTATTCATGTAGCTTTGTATTCTGCTTTTAAAAACTCAATGTGATGTCAAATGTTCTCACAACTTCAGCCTCTAGGGAGGAATTTAAAAGAAGATATATTCTCCTGGGCTGTTCCAGTGGAGTTCTACCTTGAGCCTTCATGAAGACAATACAGTTCCCATAGGGAATTTCCCTTTCTATAACCTCTTTTTGGAGCAACAGGGACGGTATCATTCCATAACCCAGGAAGATAACTATAAGATCAGAATGAAGTTCCTCTTGTGGTAAAAATGACAGTGCACGAGAGGGGACTTGCGGTATAAATGTAAAAAAGGAACAAATATTAAAAAGAACCAGCCCTTATTTATGGCTACTCAGTCAGAACCTTGCCACTGACACCAGGAGACAGAGGAAGGTAGGCAGATAGGGCACAGGTCCTGAATAGTTGACCTACAGTAAACTATAAATCAGGGCTTAAGTGAGTGAACACACCAGAAGGCCCAAATAACTAACCTAAACAAACTGAATATCAGGCCCTAATGGAATGCAAGTGACAAAGAACAGGTCCCTAGACAAACCAGAGAAGCCCTGGAGGAAGTGAAATGCAAAGAGAGCAGCCTGCTTTCTGGACATCAAAGGCCTACCTGCAACCAGGAGTATCCCTGTGTTGTCACCTACACCATTCATTGGTATCAAAAACTGTGTAAAAAGCCAATGGACTTAAACGTCTATGGTGTCCCCCTTAAGGAACCCCTCCTGGACGAGAAGGGAGATTTTCTTTTCATTTTTCTTAATAAACACACATTTGGTCATCCCTCACTGCTTGGCACTTGCTGTTTCGTCTGCTTCAAACTTCATTGCCCCAAAATAAGTACCACACAGGGAGGAACTGGTTACACCTCAGTGCTCATCCCTGGCTGTACAATCCATTCTCTGGGGGAGGGTCTACAGAACTCCGGGTCTTGAGCCCCACCATCTGGGGCTTGGATTTCATTGGGCTAGAGGGGCCCTGGCTTCAGCAGATTTTTTTAAAGCTCCCCAGGTGAGTCTAATGAGCAGCCAGACTTGCAAATCACTGTGCTGGGGAATGGATTCTCTGTAGAAATAATCAGGGAAAGTCCTACTGGGAAAACTGAAGGCATCTTGATTGATTAGGTAATTGATTAATTAATTTCTTTAACAAACATTCACTGGGGTGCTTTCCACATGCCGTATCCTGGCTAAACAATAGAGATACAAAAATGAGTAATCCACCGTCCTGAGTAAGCCACCACCTCTCCTAAGCTCAGAGTACAGCCACAAAGTGCTATCCTTCAGCTCAGGATCGGCAGGAGTGGGTGGGGGAGGGCATGGTGCTTTTGGAACTCAGCTTGGAACTCAGACCAAAGCCGCAAAAGAACGAATTCAATTATCCCTTTAGAAGGCTCGGGAGAAATGGATTAACTTGAGTGATTTGTAGCTGCACTAGGGTAGGAACGATGAAGGGCACCTCCTGATGCCAGACATCTGAATGCATGTTAGCTTTCCCCAGTGAATGATTTAGCAGGAAAGGCACATGCTAATGAAGACTAAGTCCTTCTGGGGTATCTAGCAGCTTATGCTTTCCATCACCTTTAGCCAAGAGTAAACAGCCACTTTTTGACTTCTAGGCAGAAAGCGATGGGAAAAAACTCTGCTTGGCAACTGAAGAACTACAGGAAGGAAAGGGAGCAGGTCTAAGATTGGGCACAGAAAGTATGATTTTAGTGAGTGTTTTCCCGCTACTGTCCCAGAGAACTTCCTGTGATGATGGTGTACTCTACATCTGTCCTGTCCAATACGGTAGGGACCACAGGTGGCTGCTGAGGACCTCAGATAGGGCTAGGTACGACTGATGAACTGAATTTTAAACTTTATTTACTTTACATTAATTTCCCACTAAGTGACTACTGTATTATACAGCACAATGCTAGATAAACATTTTAAAAAGTAAACAAACTTTCAGTGAGTAGGTGCTTTCTAAATACTAGACAGATTTTTTCCTTATATATTCTTTTCTATTCTTTTAAAGAATAGCCTACATTTGCATGGACTGAAAAATTTCTTCAGGGGAATTAAATTCTTTGCTATGTCTAGACAGTCCTTCAAACTCAAATTCAGTTTGCAAAAACAGCAACCGCCTTCTGGATAGAAGGCTTTTTTCATTGCCTGGGCTCAGCCAGAGCCAGGAATTTGTAAGGTCTTTCAACGGAAATTAAGATGCATGTTTCAAGTGGAAATTCACGAAGCCTCATCATCGCTCAAACAAAATGGAATCCCATTTAATGCCCAAGTGTGCAGGACCTTCTGAGACGTGGGTCTCAGTGTTCTCGCTGGGCTTAGTGTCATGTCTAATGAGGAGCTGGTGCCATTCTGAGGATTTGTCTCTGTAACAACTGACACGGTATCTATAACAACTCAAAAGACCTCATTT